ATGATAATTATCCATCTGCTCCTGAACTTCAAGAAAAATGAAAAGAAGTTATTATTTTTTTTCAGTTCTTTTTTTTTATTGCATGGAAATAAAAAAATTTTATGTTTTTATTTTAGTCATTGATTGTTCCATTTTCCCTATTCGATCCTGTATAATAGAAAAATAAAAATGAAAAAAGTGTATTTTTTGAAAGAAAAGTTCTTTTTTCATACTTCAATAATTTTTACATGAATATTAGCTTCAATCATGCGTTGTCTTAATGCATGAATTCGTTTAATATATTCATCTATTTCTCGATCACCAGGACATTGTTTATACAGAGTAGCTAATTCTAATTAAAGAACAAAAGAACAAAACATGACTTTGAAAAAAGAAGTAAAGTCATGTATTCATAAATTTACCATCGTTCATTGACGTGAGACAATTTCCAAGTGCCAATTGACGATGTCTAAAAATGAAAATAGAAAAAATTTTATTTTATATAAAATATATACATACCGAACTTGTTCTACAGCACCATCAAATTCTTGAATGACAGGTACTAGAAAATTAACAAAATCGTTTGGTATAGTCGACATTCTCTCAATTGATAAATTGACACTTATCATTATCATCAATTTATTTCATCTTCACATGAATTCTACTATTTCTATTGGTTGGCAGATGAGTCGGAGGCTCATACTGATTATCAATGGTACCATTAAAACCAATCATGTATTTAGAAAACAATGACGCATTTTTAAGTAACAGATATATGTTTAATCTAACTAGTTATTTTAATCTAAATTATTAACTTAAACTTATTCTGTTTCTTTAAATATCCAATTAAATGGCATCGATAGAAGAAACATCTGCCGATAATAATAATATTCCTCCATCTGCTGGTAGTAATGATGAGAAAAAATCATCATCAAATAATGAAAAAGACTCAGGGTTTGAATGCAATGTACGTTCAATATTAATCATTTTTTCTCTATAAGAATACAAATTTATTTTTCTTTAAATTAAGATTTGTCTTGAAACAGCTCATGATGCTGTTCTATCACTTTGTGGTCATTTATTTTGTTGGCCATGTATTCATCAATGGCTTGAAACTCGTGCACATAATCCAACTTGTCCAGTATGTAAAAGTAGTATATCACGTGATAAATTAGTACCTATTTATGGACGAAATTCTCCACAAACTGATCCAAGGTTAATATAACTATGATTATTTTTCTCATAATAAAAATAATTTATTTGACATCATATATTTTTAGAAATACGACACCACCACGACCGGCTGGTACGAGGCAAGAACCACGTCGAAATCGAGTATAACAAATAAAAATAATAAATATAGAAATGACTCGTATTTTTTTTGATTTTTCTATAAAGACTTTTGGATTTGGTGATGGTGTTAATTTTCAAATGTCATTTGGTGTTGGTGCATTTCCATTTGGTCTATTTCAAACAACATTTGCAACGAACAATAATGATTATCACTATGCTCCACGTATATATTTTTGATAGAAAAAAAATCTTTCACACTCAATCAATTCTCTTTTTTCTTTAGCACCACCTGGTACACCTGAACGTTATCAACATGATCTGTTATCACGTATATTTCTAGGCATTGCATTAGCTGTCATTTTGTTCATTATTTTTAATTGATCTCATGTTATAAAACACTGTAATTTTCTTTTTATTGTGCTCAAACAAAAACACAAAAAATTTTATTTCTTCTTTTTTTTGTCTGTCTGTATTTTCATGTGCCAAGCAGCAAAAATACTTCTTAACGCAATGAAATAGCATTA